ATTAAGCTCATCCATAAGGTCATCTACTAAGGGAATTGGGAACTTGTCCTTAATGGTCATTTTGTTTAATTCTCTATAATCAATGCAAAACCTCCAACTTCTATCTTTTTTCTTAACTAACAATACAGGGGAAGAGAATGGGGAGTGGCTGGGTTGTATAATTCCATTATTAAGCATTTCATCAACCTGCTTTTCTATCTCATTCTTCTGAAAATAATTGTACCTGTATGGTCTGATACTGATAGGTACTGCTTCAGGTTTGAGTGGAATCTGATGATCATGGTTTCTCCTTGGTGGCAGGCACCTTGGTTCAGCAAACACTCTTGGGAACTCAACTATAATGTCCTGAATCTTGTCAGGTATGCTACTTGGTGATTCTGTGGTCTGTACATTAACAGTAAACAAATGTGCCCATAACACATGTCCTTTCTTCAACAATTGCTTCACCCCAGTGGCTGTCATACTCTGCAGCTTTCCTTCCTCAGAGTATCCCTTCAATTATACCCTTTTCCCTTTCACACTCACTTGTAGTTTGTATGCAATAAAGTCAAACAGGATAGGGTTGTGTTTTATCATCCAATCCACCCCCAAGACTACATCACATCCCCCAATATCCAGTGCTCTCAACTTGTGCTCAAATTCAATGCCCTGTGTTTTCCACTTGAATTGAGGGCAAGAGTGGTAACTCATTAGATGCCCTCCATTTGCCACAGCTACCCTCATTTGTACAACTTCCTGGATTGCACATCCCAGCTGTTTGGCAGTGCTACTAGCTATGAAGCTGTGAGTGCTACCACTGTCAGCTAGGATCATCAAGACCTGCTTCCCATATACTCCTTTCAGTTTGATAGTTGTAGAGGTAATAGTCCCTGATAATGCATTGAGACTAATTGTCTCATCTATGATAGCTTCTGAATTCTCAACAGGAACTATCACATCCTCTATCTTATCTTCTATCTCTAATTGCTCTTGTTCTGTTGTCCCTGACAATGTGTTGAGTTGTTTATTCTTACACACATGTCCAGGAAAGTATCTTTCCCCACACTTATTCTCCCCTAGCTTTTCTTGCTTCAAAGAGTTTGGTCCCGGAGATTGAAGACTGTTGGTTATTCTCCTTCTATACATAGCTAGAAGGCTTGCTCATTGTAGTATTAACATAAGTACTTGGCTGTAGGTTCTGTCTTCCTCCATATCCTTTCTTCTTATTCATTGATTCCATTAATTATTCCTTGTGTCTAGCTTTTTCTACTGCATGACTTAATGAATAGGGATCAAGCATTTTAACAGTATGCCTAATCTCTTTTTAAGCCCTTCTATAAAAAACCCTAGAAAGAACTCTTCAGGTATGGTTGGATGTTTGATCAACACCCATGCCTTCAAATCTTCAAACCTCTCTAAATATTCATTGACTGATCCATTTTGCTCTACCCTTTTAAACCTCCCTAGCAGATTTAGATTGCTATTATCAGCATCATTAAATCTTTTACAGATTTCTTCTACAAATTCACCCCATCTAACAGTACCCCTACTTAGTTGATAAGAAAAATACCATGCTTCTGCTCTACCATTCAAATGCAACACAGCAGTATCAAGTTTATATTGTGGATCGATTATATGATTGTAATGAAAATACCTTTCGCATTTTCGCAGCCAAGCTTTTGGATCTCCTTCTTCGAAGTAAGGGCAATCAATTTTGGAGTTGAAATTGTTCGAGTAGGATCGCCCCACAGGAACCTCATGATTCTCCATCATCCTACCTCTACTACCAGAGCCCTCTACTGTATGAGCAGCTGTAGGAGCACTACCCAAAATACCATCCTTGCTTGCGAAGAACTTGTCCATCAGGAGATCAAATTTATGATTTAGTTCATCCATTTTAGAGTCATTCGACTCCAGCTTTTTACTAGTTTCTTCCATGTAGTTTTGTAATTGATTCTCCAGTTTCTTGACACTTTCTTCTGTAACCTTAGATCTAGTTTCTGCTACTGTCATGGTGCCAGGACTTGCTCTGATACCAACTTGTAATAGACTAGTGAATTTATCTCAAGAATTGAACAAAAATGAAGAAGTAAGAATGAGGAAACAAGCTTTATTGATCACTGTCAAAGCAATTGATATTACAATGAATCTACCAAACTAAGTAGACTAGATCCACCATAGCTACTGAACAATTGTACCTGAAAGGGAAGAGAAGAAGAAGAAAAGTTGGTTAGGATTTAGAGAGAGAAAGTAGAGAGAAGAGAAGGTAGTTGAGATGGGTAACAGAATTATACCGTGTATGCTTGAGTCCTCAGCTCCTTCTGGGGGTATTTAATTGGGTGACATTGGGCCTTAATCTTCATTGACCTCATCAGTTGGGTCAGATGGCCCAGTTGGATCAGATGGCCTAGTTAGACTTCTTATTAATCGACTGAAGCCAATTAGTTGAGGCCCACTTCATACAAGCCCAACCTTCAAGATAAGAAGGTCACTTTCCTAATTAGAGACCTAGGAATCTCCGACATTACAGTTTCTTACTACCTATGGCTATGAGAATGAGGGGGTTGGAGCAACTTTTCAGCCAAATATAGAAAATAGAAAAATAATGGTGCAAATATGGAGCAATTTAAGCTTTTCAATTTTTTTTTTATTTTAGGTTTTTTAGTTTAGGTATTCGAATCGACTAAAATACAGCAGTCACAACACCCGAAAATTATCCCTTTCTTAAATTTTATTTTGTGAAAAGGATTATTAAATTTATTCTGTGTTCGAAAATTGTGTGTAAAAGAAATAAATCTATTAGAAAAATAAGAGCAAAGTGTTAGTAGACTGTTCAAAACGGTAAACCAGAATATACAAAATAAATAAAAAATAAATAAATGGAAATGTTAGATAATTTCGAGCCCACAAAATTTACAGTATGTTTTTAGGGAATTTAACTCCTCATTGTTGTCCAAAATTTAAATTAATTTCTCATATGATTGAACGGAATATACTATTCTATAACAGTGACACTTCAAATTACAGAACTACTTAGGGAACTCTAAGAACGAGGCAAATTTGTACTTGACTTATATGTTTGTTTTAGAAAAATAATGCAGAGAAGAAGGGATACATTTCAGATGAAAAATGCAATCCAAAACATATCCTGCTAGGTTTTAAGATAGTTTCCAATTTAAAGAATTACCTTGCTTCGTATTTAATCATTTAAAAGATTCCCACTAACTTAATTGGATTTCAATAATAAGGACAATTTTCTGTGGAAAAGTTAATGCGTTTGTATGTAAGAATATTTCGGAGTGGAAATAGAATAATAATAATCTGCCAATATTAGTTCATATAATTAAGTTAAATGGGTATATACATTTTTTTCTTTTTCTAGTTTTTAATCCTTGATTTTTGACCTTCACCTTCTTTTGTTTTTATTTTTTTTAAAATTTTCTTGGCATTTTTTTTTTGCGTATTGGAAACAACCTCTCTACTTGCTACGAGTAGGGGTAAGGTCTGCGTATACACTATCCTCCCCAGATTCATCACTTGTGAGACTCCATTAAATTTATTATTGTTGTTGTTGTAGACGACGACAAGGACGACAAAAGAAAAGGCGCCTATTACTCTGGTCCTGTATTTTTTATTTCATGCTATTAGCTATAATTGATCCACAAAATTATTACTCCGTACTACTTAGTAATAATAAAAATAAAATCTGAAAGTGTAAGTGTGCAATTCAAGAACCGCCTTATAATATGTACTGCCAAAATCATCACTAACAACACCACCTGTTCCTTAATGACGTATTAAGGACATCTTAGCCTGATATTTTTACAAAATTAATATTATTTTAATGGACCCTAATTCCCAAAATGGAATCCAACAAACTATAATTAAACATAGTGATAGTTATTACCGTGAATACATCTCCTTAAGAAGTAAGCAAATCCAACACCTGGTTCTTTCTTATAGGTCTGCCAGTGGCTTTCAAGATTAAAGAATTATCCACCTAATTAATTTATTGATTGAACACTAATTAATATAAAAAATAACAAGAAAATTCTTCTTTTAAGTCTTTTTGCTTGTCTAATTGTCCAAATGCATTAACCTATGTTATACGTGGCCTTTGTCTATGAAACTTATTGTTCTTTTTATTTTATTTTTATGCGTGTGGGCTCACTTTTTGTGATTTAACATTAACTAAATATACTTATATGATTTGATCAAGATGCGAACATGTCACCCAATCCCTTGGCAATCTTCTTTTTTACTTTCAAGTACCCTTTTGGATATTGTCTTTTGGGCATTGGCTTTACCATTCTTTTTTTGTTTTGTTTTTTTTTTTTTTCGATTTTCAAATTCTTCTCATCTTCATAACTATAAAGGAAAGAAAACTCTTTTGACAAGTCTAAAATTATTCTATTTCCCTTCTTATTTCTTATTAATCAAAGATAAAAACAAATCAAACATCACAATATAACGCGAAAATATATCAATTTAGTCTGAAGTTCTAACGCAACGCTAAATGTTACTTGTCTTTGTAACAACATGAATACAAGTATGTTTCTTCAAAAGCCGTTAATTAACTCATTAGAAACACTAAATATCTAGCTATTGTGATCATTTTCTAACTATATCACTGTGTAATACAACCATCTAGCTATTGTTTTCTCGAGCAAATTGATAATTTTAGCAGCAGAATATTCTTAAAAGAATTCATGAAATACGAGATATATTAGTTATTAATTTGTATACTAAATGTATAAGGTTTGATTCTTATTTCTCACTACATATATCATCCTTTCAATATTCTTAAGGTAATAAAAAAAAGAAAAAAGATTGATGAGGACATTTTGGTAATTTAAGGAGTTAAGTTGTATGATACAGATCATATCTAGCTTGTAAGAAGAAAGGATATTGATGATTTGAAAAGGACAAAAGAATTGACTGATGGAAAGAAGTGAGAATATTGGGGTCCGTAGCTTTGGTTGCATATATAAATACCCAACAAACACTTGCAGATTATGTCACATAATATTTTCAACAACTTACCTAAAAATACTACTCTTACTATAAATGCTTAGTGAAATAATAATGAGTAGTGAGAAAATGGGAAACTGGGGAATAATAGAAGAAGGTTGGAGAAAAGGCCCTTGGACTGCTGAAGAGGACAGATTGCTCATTGAATATGTCAAGTTGCATGGTGAAGGCAGGTGGAATTCTGTTGCTAGGCTTACAGGTAACTCTTTTTTCAACTCTTCCACTGCACGAATCTGAATTAGTCGGGTTGGTGAGTTCCTGACATCGAATGGTTAAACTAAACAAAAAAGTGCAACTACTAGGGAAACATGCATTTTTCGAGGATCCAGTATAGACGAAGAAATATTTTTGGAGAAGCGGAGCAATATAACAGTGTTATTATTTTTGATTAAGTGGTTTTCTTATAATTTTTGGTTATTTGTTTTTTTGTAGGGTTGAAAAGAAATGGAAAAAGTTGTAGGTTGAGATGGGTAAATTACTTGAGGCCAGACCTAAAGAGGGGGCAAATAACCCCACATGAAGAGAGGATCATTCTTGAGCTTCATGCTAGATGGGGCAATAGGTGATTAATTAATCCTGAAAATTCTTTTTAACTTCTTAATGAAGCTTAGTATTTGACAATTTCTTTCCTAAAATGAATACAGATGGTCAACTATTGCTCGAAGCTTGCCAGGAAGAACTGATAATGAGATCAAGAACTATTGGAGGACACATTTTAAGAAAAAGACCAAGAACTCGTGTGCTAACTCTGAAAAGTCAAGAGCTCGTCTTTGGAAAAGACAACAATTTCAACAACAACAGCAACATCAACTGCAACAACAACAACAACAAATCAACAATCAAATCGACATCAAAAGAGTGATGTCGTTTTTCGATCATAATGAGAATAAAGTACCAACTATGCCTCAAGCAAAACAAGAAACGACAGTTTTGTACCCAAACACAGTTGATCAACAAAATCAAGTTGGCTTCTTCTACTCTATGCTCAATGGTTGCTCTTCTGTATCAGTGCCTGAGCCTTCCTCTGATGAAGATATTATGTGGGATGGATTATGGAATTTGGATGATTTTTATGGCCAGTTCATCAATACTACAACTTACAACAAAACCATTACTACTCCTAATTGCCTGTAAACTATGGCTACTACTCCAGCTTTTTATTAAATCCTCATCAAGAAAATTTCTACAAGTTTTAGTACTATTTTCACTCCTTTTTCTCAGTGCTTCTTTACACCTTGTTGCTGGTTGGGAGCCAAAGAAGGTTTATCCGACCATGATATCCAGACCTCGGCGCAATGGTAAAGTTGTCTTAGTCATGTGACGATCACAGGTTCGTATCGTGAAAGCAACCACTAATGCTTGCATTAAGATAGGCTGTCTACATTATATCCCTTGAGATGCGGCTCTTTTGAACCCTGCTTGAACGCGAGATGCTTTATGCACTGTGCTGCCCTGAAAAAGAAAATTCAGGTTAAATAATTTTGTAAGTCTCTACGAGATCATGTTAGGACTTTAGACTTTATTTTAACATTATGTACTTTGTGCTATCTGAGCTGCAAAAAAAGCTCAGTAATGGTGATTAGTGTGATGCTCATGTTGAGGAAATTGTACCATATAATTAGCTTGCTTGGAACTTATTATACTCTTTCTTTTTCTCAAGTGATCGGAAGGGGAGCCTTGGCGTAATTTGTAAAATTACTGCCCTGTGATCAATAGGTCACGCGTTCGAGTTGTGAAAATAGTCTTTTGCAAAAATACAAGGTAAGACGATATACAATAGACCCTTGTGGTCCGGTCCTTTCCCAAATCCCGCGCATAACGGGAGCTTAGTGCACCAAACTATTTTTTTTTCAAGTGATTATTTTGATATGAATGTGAAAGCATTGATCAACTAAAGAAAAGATTTTTAAATTTGTTTAGGACTTCTAGTTATAAGATGATGGCACGTGGTCTTCCATTCCTTTATCATATCTGATAGAGAAAAACTATTTTGTCTTTAAATGGTTATAGTCGCCAGAATATTATTTTTTAGACTTTACTAATTGGGAGAAACATATGGAGTATATATGCAGATTACGTGCCAAGATCCCATACTTCATTTTTGTTGTTTATTCCTATTTTAGACTAACCAATCAATCTCATGTATCCTTACAGATCATCTAAATTGGCATTTTGTTAAATTTTATATTCTTACTATTAAGATTATTGTCGCATAACAGATATCCATTGCCATTAAATGGGAACACATAAGAAAATAAAGTAAATCACTTATTCATCGAAAGACCAAAAAAAGGGTAACTGATATAAATATATTATATTATGGATGTTCATTTCGTACTCCGTTGTAAATAAGCTTCCTGAAGAAGTTTATCCATATGGGACTCCGCCGTAAATATGTTTATCTATTTAGTACTCTATTGGAAATAAGCCTCTTGAAGAAGCTTATCACTTCGGTACCCGGTTATGGATAAACATTACCCCCGGTAGAAGATTATCTATACTGGATATAATAAGCTTATCCGTTCGATACTCCATTATGGATAAACATTACCCCCGGTAGAAGATTATCCATACTGGGTACAATGAGCTTATCCTTTCAGTACTCCGTTATGGATAAACATTACCCCCAGTAGAAGATTATCTATACCTAGTATAATGAGCTTATCCTTTCAGTACTCCGTTATGGATAAACATTAATCTCAGTAGGAGATTATCCATATCTGGTATAGTAGCAGCTTACACAGCAGCTTGCAGTAGCAGCTTACACAACAACTTCCTTTCTTCTATAAATAGAATAGATTTCAGTTCATTATGTACATCAGTTTGAATTCAAATAATATATCAGTTTCTCTGTATACTTGTCTTTACTTTACAGTCTTTATTTTATAACACGTTATCAGCACGAGACTCTGCCATCTCGAGCAAATACTTTGGAAGTATCCGAGGTACAAACTTTCTTTTTCTATATAATGTCAAATCTTTCTAAACTTGAATTTGTAGCCCTGGATATATCGGGCAAAAGCTACATGTCTTGGGTGCTTGATGCTGAAATTCATCTTGATGCGATGGATCTGGCAGACACCATCAAGGATAAAAATCAGGCATCAAACCAAGACCGTGCCAAAGCAATGATATTCCTACGCCATCACCTTGATGAGGGCTTGAAAATGGAATATCTCACTATTAAAGATCCAGTCGTAGTGTGGAATAATTTGAAAGATAGATATGACCACCTGAATATGGTCGTTCTTCCACAGGCACGTTATGATTGGACTCATCTAAGGCTACAAGATTTTAAATCTATAAGTGAATATAATTCTGCTATGTTCAGAATTATTTCCCAATTGAAATTATGTGGTGATAATATTACTGATCATGATATGTTGGAGAAAACTTTCATCACTTTTCATGCCTCGAATATGCTCCTGCAGCAGCAATATTGAGCGATGGGATTTTAAAAGTATTCTGAACTTATCTCACATCTTTTTATAGCCGAGCAACATAATGGGCTATTAATGAAAAACCATGAAAGCCGACCTACTGGTTCTTGTCCGCTCCCTGAAGTGAATGAGATGTGGAAGAAGTCGTGGCCCCAGTCGTGGTCATGGCCGTGGTCGGGGAAGAAACTCTAATCATGGTAATAATAATGCACCAAAGAACCCTCCTCGCCACCAGCAGTGGAAAAGGAAGGAACAAAAGCATGAAGCGGTGCAAACACCAAATGCAGAAAATGCATGCTATAGATGTGGAGGAAAAGGGCACTGGTTACATACCTGCCGTACGCCAAAGCACCTGGTTAAGCTTTATCAAGCCTCCCTAAAGAAGACAGAGAAAATGCTGAAGCAAATTTTATTTCTGAAGATAATTTAGACTTCATGCATTTGGATGTACCTGATTACTTTGCACTCCCAGAAGGAGAAACAAGTCATGTAATCGGTGGTGAATATGTAGAAATGTAAATATTAATTTTTGTTGTTTGTAATAGATAGTATGGTTATGTAATTATTGTACATAAATAAAAATTATGCTTTGATAATGATGTTTACTATAATATATTTTATTTATGTCATTTTGAAGAATATGGATAATCCTCAAATTATGTTTAGATCAAAGACAAATCATGAAGATATTTGTGTTATTGATAGTGGAACAACTCATGCCATATTCAAGGATCAGAAATACTTTTCTTATTTGCATAAGGAAAAAGCAAATGTTTCAACAATTTATGGTAATATAAGTTTGAATGGAGGCTCCGGAAGAGCCATTATATTTCTGTCTAAGGGAACAAAACTTATTATAGACAATGCATTGTTCTCCTCCAAGTCCCGAAGAAACTTGTTGAGTTTTATAGATATCCACCGAAATAGGTATCATATTGAGACAATAGATGAAATGAACGTGGAATATCTTTGTATTACAAAGAATATTTCTGGCCAGAAATGCATTGTAGAAAAGTTACCAACTTTATCTTCTGGCTTATACTATTCAAAAATTAGTACAATTGAATCACACTCTATCGTAAACCAGAAGTTTACGGATTCAAATACTTTTGTGCTTTGGCATGGCCGTCTGGGCCATCCTGGATCAATAATGATGAGACGAATTACTGAAAATTCGAGCGGGCATCCATTAAAGAACCTGAAGATTCTTACAAATGACGAATTTTCTTGTGATGCTTGTTATCAAGGCAAAATGATCACTATACCATCACCAATGAAGGTTGGCATTGAATCCCCTACCTTTTTAGAGCGTATACATGGGGATATATGTGGACCTATTCACCCACCAAGTGGGTTGTTTAGATATTTTATGGTCCTAATAGATGCATCTTTAAGATGATCTCATGTGTGCCTACTATCATCTCGCAACCTGGCATTTGCAAAGCTATTATCCCAAATAATTCGATTAAGGGCACAATTCCCAGAATATCCTATAAAGGCTATTCGCCTTGATAATGCTGGAGAATTCTCATCTCAAGCTTTTGATGATTATTGTCTATCAGTTGGGATAAAAGTTAAACATCCTGTAGCGTATGTTCATACTCAAAATGGCCTTGCAGAGTCATTTATTAAACGCCTGCAATTGATAGCAAGACCACTACTTATGAATACAAAATTGCCCACTACTATTTGGGACCATGCTATCTTGCATGCAGCATCACTTATCCGTCTCAGACTGAGACATTATAATTAATATTCTCCGTCACAATTAGTTTTTGGTCATGAACCAAATATTGCCCATCTACGAATTTTTGGATGTGCTTTATATGTGCCAGTAGCACCACCACAACGCAGTAAGATGGGACCACAGAGAAAGATGTGAATGTATGTTGGGTTTGAATCACCCTCTATAATTCGCTATCTTGAACCATTGACAGGAGATTTACTACTCGATTTGCAGATTGTCGGTTTGATAAAACAAATTTCCCACAATTAGGGGAAGAGAAAAAGGAAATCAAAAGAGAAATTGCGTGAAAAGTTTCATCATTATCTCACTTTGATCCACGTACTCCTGTATGTAATCAGGAGGTCAAGAAGATCATCCATTAACAGAATATAGCAAATCAATTTCCAGACGCATTTACTGATTTGAAAAGGATAACTAAGACACATATCCCTGCAGAGAATGTGCTTATCCGAATTGATGCCCCAGTAGGACCATCTACTAGCGTGAGAGCTAGTGAACCCAAAGCACTCCTGAAGCGTGATAGGCCTTTGGGTTATAAGGATCGAAATCCTCGAAAAAGAAAATCGACAAATGATCAAAACGATACTATGAAGGGATCTCCTGAAGAGACCCAAGATCTGATTAATTCTGAAATTCTTGAAGAAATCAATGAACCCGAAGCTCATGTGAGTGAGGAACTTTTAATAAGTTCGACTGGTGATGGGATTAATTTAAAACAATCTGAAATAGTGGTGGATAATATTTTTGCATATAATGTTGCACTTAATATTATGCAAGATAGTGAGGATCTTGAACCTCGATCTGTCGAAGAATATCGACAAAGATCTTATTGGTCAAAATGGCAAGAGGAAATTCAATCGGAATTGAAGTCACTTGCTAAAAGAGAGGTCTTTGGACCAATAGTCCAAACACGTGCTGGTACAAAACCAGTTGGTCATAAATGGGTTTTTGTGCGAAAAAAGGAATGATGAAAATGAAGTTGAAAGATACAAAGCTCGCCTTGTTGCACAAGGATTCTCACAACGACCTGGAGTCGATTTTGATGAAACATATTCACCTGTTATGGATGCCATAACATTTCGACATCTCATCAGTTTAGCACTACATGAAAAGCTTGAAATACATCTAATGGATGTAGTTACAGCTTATCTATATGGTTCACTTGATAATGAAATTTATATGAAAATCCCTGAAGGATTTATAATGCCTGAAGCGAATTCAAAATCTCAGGAAATGTATTCAATTAGATTACAAAGATCTTTGTACGGTTTAAAGCAATCTGAGCGCATGTGGTATAATCGCCTTAGTGAATATTTGCTGAAAGAAGGTTACATAAATGATGTTATTTGTCCATGTATTTTTATAAAGAAAATGGCATCAAAATTTGTTATACTTGCTGTTTCTGTTGATGACATAAATCTTGTTGGAACTCCAGAAGAGCTCCAAAAGGCAATTGAATATCTTAAGAAAGAATTTGAGATGAAAGATCTTGGAAAGACAAAACTTTGTCTTGGTCTGCAAATTGAACATTTAGCAGACGGGATCTTTATCCATGAATCTGCATATACAGAAAGGATCTTAAAACGCTTTTACATGGACAAAGCGCACCCATTAAGTACACCAATGGTTGTTCGATCACTTGAAGTGAATAAGGATTTGTTCCGACCTGCAGAAGAGGATGAGGAACTATTTGGTCCCGAAGTACCCTATCTCAGTGCAACTGGTGCACTAATGTATCTTGCTAATGCTACAAGGCTTGACTTAGCATTTTCTGTTAATTTACTAGCAAGATACAATTCTTCTTCTACACGAAGACATTGGAACGAGATTAAACATATATTGCGATGTTTAAAGGGAACTCTTGATATGGGTTTGTTTTATGCTAACAAAGATAGTGCAGATCTTGTTGTTTATGCAGATGCAGGTTATTTATCTGATCCCCATAAAGCTCGATCTCAAACCGGGTACGTGTTTACATATGGAGGTACTGTCATATCATGGCGCTCCACAAAGCAATCTATTGTTGCTACTTCTTTAAATCATGCTGAGATAATAGCTATTCATGAAGCAAGTAGAGAATGCGTGTGGTTGAGATCAATAATTCATTTTATTCGAGAAAAATATGATTTGGAATGTGAGAAAAGACCCACAATTTTATACGAAGACAATGCTGCATGCGTAGCCCAATTGAAGGGAGGATTTATAAAAGGAGATAGAACGAAGCACATTTCACTAAAATTATTCTACACACACGACCTTCAGAAAAATGGTGACATTAATGTGCAACAAATCCGCTCAAGTGATAATCCAGCAGATTTATTCACTAAATCTTTGCCAACTTCAACTTTTGAGAAGATGGTATACAAGATTGGAATGCGGAGACTCAAATATTTAAAACAAGATTTTCATCAGGGGGAGTAAAATATGCGATGCACTCTTTTTTCCTTACTAAGGTTTTTTTCATGGGGTTTTACTTACAAGGTTCTTAATGAGGCACCTAGCAATGCATATTACTAAATATGTGTACTCTTTTTCCTTCACTAGGATTTTTTTTCCCGCGTGGTTTTTTCTAGTAAGGTTTTAATGAGGCACATTATCTTTTAATGAACATCCAAGGGGGAGTGTTATAAATATATTATATTATGGATGTTCATTTAGTACTCCGTTGTAAATAAACTTCCTGAAGAAGCTTGTCCATATGGGACTCCGCCGTAAATATGTTCATATATTTATTACTCTATTGGAAATAAGCCTCCTGAAGAAGCTTATCACTTCGGTACCCGGTTATGGATAAACATTACCCCTGGTAGAAGATTATCCATACCGGGTATAATAAGCTTATCCGTTCGATACTCCATTATGGATAAATATTACCCCCGGTAGAAGATTATCCATACCGGGTACAATGAGCTTATCCTTTCAGTACTCCGTTATGGATAAACATTACCCCGAGTAGAAGATTATCTATACCTAGTACAATGAGCTTATCCTTTCAGTACTCCGTTATGGATAAACATTACTCTCAGTAGAAGATTATCCATATCTGGTATAGTAGCAGCTTACACAGTAGCTTGCAGTAGCAGCTTACACAGCAACTTCCTTTCTTCTATATATAGAAGAGATTTCAGTTCATTATGTACATCAGTTTGAATTCGAATAATATATCAGTTTCTCGCTATACTTGTCTTTACTTTACAATCTTTGTTTTATAACAGTAACAAACTTATAGATTAATCCTTGTACTTTCGAAAAAAAA